AAAGAATTTCGCATCAGCAACTTATCAGCTAAGGGGCACATATTCCACACTTCTTCCTTCTAGCTTGCCTCTGAGAAAGTTACGGTTTTGTGAGTGTGGTGCTAAGGTGTCACCCCTAGGAAAGTGATTTATTGCTATTGTTAGAAGGGGTATATTACTGGTTATATACAACACTTGGAGGAATTTGTCAGTCACAACTTCTGGTGATAATCCTTGTTGGAATACTTCATGTATCTTGATATATGGACCCAAAGTCTATGATGGGGTTTGAAAAATATGGAAGCACCAAGGGGTCAGTGTACACAGACTGGGACTTTACCACTGTGTGTAAGCAATGACACTCTTACGGGTGATCCTGGTTCTTTGTATGGGATTGTGTTTGTAGGTGAGGCAAGGAAACAGCTTGAATCTACAGCTGAGTAGTTGTCATTTAAAGTTATTGCGGTTAAAATGTTTATTAAAGTTGTGGCCAGAAGTTTTTTATGTTGCTGCCTGCAAGCACCACTGGCAGCAGTTTTCAGTAAGTAATTAGCATGCCGTGCCAGACTTTGACTGGATTATGCAATGTTTTGAGGACAGCACTATATATTTAGGTAGCTGCAAGGACTTTTTTTCTGCTCTGCTGAAGTGAATAAAACAGACTAAAATTCTGTTTAAACTGCAGCACTTCTATTTTGTTGTACTTTGTCTTCCAGTGTTTAAAACAGAATATTTTAGTCTTGTATTCTGGAACTGGTAATAGGGTGAATATTTATGAAAAAAGCACACTCTGCACTCATTTCACAAAGGTAGATTAATTAGATTCTAAACTTTTTTACTGAAAATAAAAAGCTGAAAAAAATTCCTGCTCAGTCATCTTCACTAAAATGTTGAATGCTTAAATACACACAGTGAAATGGAATTTTACATTATAATACATGGTTGTATTTTACATTCATTCAGAAAATTCTGAAAGATTATACCAAATGAAAAATGTCAATAAAATAATTAAAATGGCACAATTAAAATAATATGTACACACCACATTTAGAATTCAGAACAAAAACAGTTCTAAGGTAAGACTTATTAAGCTGAGTCTCCTAACTTTGGTCCCATATCACAAAACATTTATAACTCCACCTCTCTCCTAGATATTACTCAACATGCTTAACTGCTTTGACAAAAACAGATGGGCAGCTAAATTTGAAGCCTTTGTACAATAGGTATAAAGCACTATAACCCATTAAACATGATAGTTTTCGTCATAAAAAAGCAACTCCTTCACTGATTCTCCTCTTCCTGTAATTCCATATGACCAGTTTTGATGGAAACTACAGTGTAAACAGTGGTACAGCATAGGAGAAGCAATCCTAGGTCTGAGAGAGGACTGGAAACCCAGAATCCACACTGAAAGCCATTTCCAATGCCTATTTATAAAACCCTGGAATATCATAACGGTAATTATGGCCTCAAAGTGCAAACACCTATGCAGGTGTTTAATTTTGCTTTTTATATGAATGATCCTAATGACTTCTAGTACTTAAAGATAATTATTTTCTTAAGTATTAGCAGGATGAAAAGGTAAAGTTATACAATTATTCCTAGTTTCAAACAACTGTAAAAGCATTGACTACTATTTATAGATGAAAGGAAGTTAACCAATTACACTGTATATCTGGTATATTCGGGAGAACTAAAATGGTTAAAACACAACACCCACAAACACTCCCTGAGGATAATGGTTTCCTGAGGCATACAGAATGCATGACAGTAATTTAAGATAGGCATGCATTTATGGTATTTTAAACAACAGGTATTTAAGGAACCTGTTTTGTTGAACCAGAGGGAAGTAAAGTGACAGTTTTTCATTTTAAAGGACTGCATCCTGTGTGAAGTGTTCCCACTGATGTCTCCCAGGAATTTTACCTTAGAATCTAGTGGCACAATATTTACCTTTGACAGGATTGATTTGACAGGTTTAAAGCAATCAAACTTTATCATCCATTTGTAAGGGTGCTACTCATTTGGATTATCTATTTTGAATACTGGATGATTACCACCACCAAGGATTTAAATTTTATATGAACATCCACAAAATATTTAATATGTAGAACATTACTGCTATAAAGATTTTATATTAAATACACTAGAATATCCTGAAGCTCCTAGCTACTGATGGATTAATGGTATCTAGAAATCTTAAAGGTAGTCTTACAATAACTATCAGTTATTACAAGATAATGATAATACATCAGTTGGGGTGATATAGAAATGGAAGCTTTTTGTTATCTAAAAAATGCATTTGTAGCATCACATTCTGTTTTGTCAACCATTTTATTATTAATCTCCATTATAAAAGTTTCCATATTGTTCTCTGCCCAACAGGATTGGTTTTGTTTACTGAGTATATTTATGCTCAGTGTATTTATGCTGCAATGAATGTGTTAATCACAGCATAAATGGCAAAGGTGCCATATGTGCTCCCAACGTAAAGCATCATAAGATGGCAAACCAGCCATAAGAAAGTCCGACACCTTAAACTGAACATAGAGCAGGTCCAGGCCAGGGCTGACAATCTCGCCAGGGGCTACACTGATGTTTCTAATAGGCCTGCTGCTGTCAGGGGCTGTGGCCAGTAATCAGTGATTGTCAGCTCCTTCCACAGATAACAATCAGCTAATTGTTGTCCGCAAGCCTGGACTGTACAGAACTGTTTCAAGGCCCCGGTGCAGTCCTTGTCTAGAGCTCACAATCAGCTGATTGTTGGCCCCAGACCCTGACTTGCCAGCACTCAGCTTTCAACCTCCTGGTGCAAGGGGAGCCCAGGCTCATGAATTTGAAACCCTGTAGTTTAGAGTCATGATCCTGGGCCCATTCTTCACAGGCAAGCAAAAAAGGCACAACTGGTACCTAATCTCCAGTTCCCAGATAACACTTCCTGCTGTGCATGTGTGGTATGGTAAAAGGTGTGATTTTGGGGATCAGGATTGGGTTCCATTGTACCTTTAAATAAACATGTGCCAGAGGCCTACGTTTCATGTTTTATAACCTTCCAGCTCTCCAGCCAACTATCACCCTGAAAATAAGTGGAAAAAAAGGGAGAAAAAAAAAGAAAAGCTACATGCTCAAGCTACAGAAGAAATAGTTTCCATAACTTTAGGTGATACTGTTTATACATATATTAAATCTGGCAATACTGTAAAACTATCATAGCACGCTGCAGAGAAGCTTGACTTGCTTTATTGTTTTCACTTTGTAAATGCTATGGGGATTTGCCACTTTGTCATGCTTTCACCTAATAATTCATGACTTATATGTCGACAATTTAAAAAGCTACAATGGGACATTGCATTGAAATGCATTTTCTTCAGGAAAGTCTCTGCCATGCTAAATCTTGGAAAATACCCCCAAGACTGCTATCTGAGGGGAACATGATGCAAACATACCCTGCTGATGGTGCATACAGAAGCACACAAAATCAATGAATCTTCCCCCACCCCACCATGAACAATCATGAAATGTAGTATACATGGACACCTGTGTATATAGCTCATCTTTATTTAACCAATTACTGAAACATTTAAAGTGTGGTTCTAGTCTGAAAAGTAACCCTGTAAAAATGGTACCTTCTTACACAACAAACCTTCTGAAGATATGTTCTGGAGAAAAAAAATTAAGTCATATTTGCATAATGTTAAAAAATAGATAAGTTCTACTATGGGCCTTTCAATATTTTTAGTCTTTCAGAGTCAATACAGCAAGGATTGAATTAACTGGATTTGACTCCTTGTGACATAATCAAGGTCTTGACCTCAACACCCACTTTCTTCAGTCGGAGTTGAGTATATATGCACCTTCAAGGAATGGGCTGCCCCAAAATAGTTTACCATGTCCCACAGGTAATTTTTTTTACATGTTTGTAAAATGATAAAGGAAAAGAGATTTTGGAGCACACATGGAGGATATCGCTTAAAGAAAATAATGTGGTTGCACATTCATAATCAAGGGTGCACGTTGACATGCAGAACACCTAGTACAAATGAGGACATGAAACAAAATTTATATATATAATCTTCATTCCCTTGAATTTTGTAGGGCTGTTAGTCTAAATTGTTTTTAGTTGCAAACAGTGTATCTGGTCTGAAATCATGGGCACATCAATTACACAGAACCCCTTAATGCAACTTTTACAGAAAGCCACTTTTCTGAGTAGAACCACACTTTAAAATTCACCATGCAGATTGCAGATAATTAAGCCACTTAAACTATTAGAAATACATAAACAATTGTGGAAAAACACAAACAACACAGACAGCACAAACTTCACTCTTGCACTAGAAAAAGTAACAAAAAGGAGTACACTCACAGATAGAAAACTTGTTGCTGTTGTCTTTCCCTGGAAACAATTTAAATCCTCTAGATTTAAAATCTATGGCCTTTTTCACTAGTTAAGAAAACAAACAAAAACATGTATCAGGTAATACAGTCTAAAAGATTTCATTGCAATTGATAAATGTTATCATGGATGTACGCAAGTTAGAGTTTCTGCTATCTAATGAGGTAGTATTGGTATCCATAGCAAAAGACACATCAAAAGAAATATTCTTTACACAAAGGGTAAGTCACTGGATCAGACTGTGTGTAAAATACAGGAAATCAATGAGTTTTGTAGATGTAACTCTTTATTGTTCCAATGTATACAAAACAAAAATAAAGATTAAAGAGTGTAGTTCCCATTCACCATAAATGGTTGTATAGACCTTTACTGATCAATTATAAAACCTGGAAAACAAATAACCAAGCAGAGAGGCACAACAGTGTTGAAAAACAGTCAGCTTTCAACAGTATTTTCCCTATTGTAGATCTTAACTTTTTTTATTCCCAATTTTTCCTTATCCCTCTTATATTGTCTAATATTAATAAAAAAGCAGTGCGCTTTTAAGAGGATCCCCTTATTATTATGGGCTGAATCTGTTTGTGTAAAGCTTGTAATTTCTTTATATTTTTTTCCATTGGCAGGACCACTGATCTTTCTTAAATGTGTATTCTCCACAACATATCCAAAAGCAAACTGAAGCCAAACCTTTATCCTAAAACTCAAGTCAAAAGGCACCTCATAGATACAAGGGTGCATTCATATGGACCCAAATTCAGGCTAGTACCCAGGATACTGTTCCAGCTGTAAATATTCCACAATGGCTCTACAAAAACAGTAAGTATCATCATATTGTGTGTTAGCATATTTCATTCACTACAACTAAAATGAAGTCCATTTCCTAGAGGAAAAAAAATGTATCCAAAATGACACCTAGAAATTACCATCTTATAATGTAAATATTACAAAAGTATATATATTGAAGATGGGTTTTATCATCTTGAATACTTTATAAGTAATTCTTCTGCAACTCTGATATATCAATGATATTTGAAAAGATGTGGGAGCTCAAATGATCTTTATGTTCCAAAAAATGCAGCACAGCCCCTCTAGTCAACTATTTTAAAATACCACCTTATTTCTGATGTTAAATCTAACATAGAAGAACCCAAATCTATTCAGGAAATACGGGGGTTTAATTTACTATTCAAATTCATGTCTGATCTTTCCTAAGTAAGAACTCTAAATTCTAAATCTGATAGTTCTATGGTGTATATACTTACCTACCAGGGAGTATCATGACACCAGTAACAATGCCATTTCATTTAAGAATGGAAGCAGACCTCTCTACTGCACTGTCTTCAACTGAGATATTTTCATTAACAACTTAAAATGTTCTCAGCAACTCTCTCTTGAATATGTCTGTTTTCAAAGTGTATTGTGGAAGATGACCAAACATTTTTTTTTCTTTCCCTGGCAGAGTTAGCTTTGGAAAAGCCTTTTTATTAGGGTTGTATATCTTTTTGATAGAACCAATTAATTCTGGGGAGGCATACTGTGTCAACACACATTTGAAACAGAAGAGAGAGGATAAAGGGAGTCATAGAAAAACAGAGAACTCAAAAAGTAGAAAAGGACAAAAGAAATAAAAAAAGTGAAAGAAGCAGAACACAGCGGGCAGTAGCTTTCTTGAAGGCAAATAATAAAGTTGTCTGTGTTATCTGTGATATATTCTACAACACTACACCAAAGCTGCAAAAATGTGCCACCTAAACAATACTTAATATGTTTATTTTGACTCTGGGCAAATTTCATCCTTGATATTTTAAAGAATGACTGCATCATATTTGAAACCCAAACAGCAGAGAGAGCTGTATATTGTCTGCATAGGAATACTGAAGATGATGACTGAACAACTTAAACATTAAATAGCTAGACTGGGGAGAAGTAATCAGAGCAGATGAACGATTCATCTATAATGAAGGAACATTCTAGGCAGCCATTAAACTTCCTATGCAAGAAGAAAGAGTAAGTAGAGGAAACAAGATAGCTAAACATTTTACAGTACTAATTATCATCATCATTAGGCATGAAAGTTACAAGAGTTATAAGAGAAAAAAGTATCCAAGTAACCTAAGAAACACAAGGTGATAGTTTATGATTCTATCAAATATATTCTTAAATAGTCAAGAACATTTATATTTGTCAGGGGAACACTATTTTCTCTGTGTTTAGGAACCCTCTAACACATTTTGCCCTTTAACACAAGACAAAAATTGTAAAAATGGAGTAGGTAACATCCAATCACTGTCTGAGTACCTGGGAAAAATTCTCCAGCTATTTTGGACAAAATTAATTCCAACACAATGACAAAATCTTTGCCCAGTGTGCTCTGTGCAAGGCAAGGAGAATGAAGCTATAACTTTCCCATCAAATCAAGATAGGCAGTGTGGTTAGAATAGCAGTGCTTCCTCTCCATGGCCTTTTGTATGAATTCCAAGACACAGTATCTGCACCAATATAAATCTGGTACCGCCTAGCATCTTCTCCTGGTCCTTTCCCAGCATTTTTCTCAGCTCTTGCCTCTTCAGTTTTGGGCTTGTGTGGATATCCTGCATGTGTGACTACTCTTCCACACCCATCCACAAATACAATGACAAGGTCTTCCACAGTGGAAGACCTTACATTCTAGGGTGAATTTCAAACTTTGAGATATGAGGACAAATATTCATTATTTTATCACTAATGATCAAATTAGTGTAAGTGACAAGCATTTCAAATATCCCCCCATCCTTTCCCCTCCCATTTTTCGGATCCAATCACCATATTTGTAAGAACCATATGACTTCTTTATAATGATAGTTTTGATCAGAGGAAGGAAGTAGTGTTTGGAGGAATTAAAAGTAACAGGAAGGCAGTTAAATTTCAAATGCTTATGAGAGTATCTTGGCTGCTGGCATTATTCAGCCCCTTAAGAAATTTTTGCAAGTATATAATCAGTTTTCTAAGGCCTTTTCTTGCTACTGAGAGAGTAAGTGGCATGCAGTCCCCTAAGAGAGATGATCCACAAGGAGTAATTTCTTTTTGACTTTTTAAGGAATTTGCTTTCGTAGTTGCTGAGCTTTGAGAATGTTTTCCTATGTATCCCTTTAGCAAATAACTGGTGAACTACGAGCTAGTTGTAAAACCATACTTGGTTTAAATATCCACACACACTAAAATGTGCATCCCATGCACACACACGTGCAAAATATATTCCACACAGAGCTAGTCACACCATTCTAAGTCCTGAAAAACACCTTTAAAGTCAATATTAGAGGTACTCCAAATTTATAGTGATATATCTGAGATCAGAATTTGTCCAGTATCTTGTCATATTATGAAGGGATATTAATAGGCTTTAATGCAGTTAATAAAACAGCTATTCCTTCAGTGCACACCACTATCCTGAATGCCACATAAAAATAATTTCTTCCTTATGAAGTAAACTGGTGAGAGGGGAAGTACTATTATTCCCATTTTAAGGATTGGGAACTGGGGATTATGGTCAAAAGTTCTGCAAGCTTGAGCAAATGATATTTGGACACACAACTCATGATAGGGCAGGAACTGAATACTAAGGAGATTTTAATAGCTCATACTTAGCCATGCACAAATTCTGAATGCTCAGTGACTGGCACTGATACTGTGTGGGGTGATTAGGGACTATATGACATATTCCATCCCTTCCAAGTGAGTGCATGCTTTCCCACAATATATGAGAGATTATTTTAGCTGCAATGACAAAATAAGGAAAGCATGTGGCCTGAAGGATGTTGGACTGGGTTGAGGCTACAAAAGGGAGTTTGAGTACAGTATATCTGCTTGTTGTGATGAGTACTGCACACTCAGATTATAAATCTAGTGCCTGCATTTTCCTTCCTCCTATGTATACTTTTCCTTCCTCCTATGTGTACTTTCCTTCCTCCTATGTGTACTTTCAAAATATAGTCAAAGTGGTATTTATTAATTTTTTTTTGGTCAACAAATCATCCTGAGCTGTTATCTATTTGGTTTCAGCTCAAAGACATTTTAGCCAAGTTAAGCTTTGTCACTTAGAAGGCATCAATACAGCAGCACTAGGCTAGCCAATTACACATTCCACTCCAAATCTTATTAGAAGAACTTTTTAAAAATATTATCTTAATTATCATTGATATAAAGGTCAACATATTCTAAAACAAAATTTTCACATCAAGTTTATTTTGTACTGTCACTACCTCAAGCTCATTAGCACAAATTAACTTTCATGCTAATAAGCCAAAGCAACTAAGGGCAATATATCCCCAGTGCCCGACCTGAGTAATTTGGCAGGGTACTTGAGCTCTCTGTAAGGAATGGAGAGAAGCAGCTACATGTTGTGTTATGCTTGTGCTCTGCAACACTAAGGACCTAAAGGCAAAAATAGGCTTAGCAGTTATTTGCAGTGTCATCCTTCCTTTTCCTTGATTTCATAGCAAGACACTGCGTTGTTAGAATGACACTAATAAGGATAATGCAATAGAAGGTCTATAATATATATAATACTCATACAATTTGACAGAAAATAAGGTGCTTTCAAAATGTTTTTAACATCCTATAAGATCTATATCATATATAAATGAGCATATTAGGACAGATTTTATTCTGCTTTTTAGACATCCAAATGGAAACTTAGCCTAGGAAATTGTCCATTTAGATTATATCAATCAGGCTCACAATGACTTACAATGAGTGCTAGTTACTCTGGCAAATTCCAGTATTACAATTGGATAAGTGGCAAGTAATAGCCTCCAGAAATTCTGGTGTGTTATAGGCGAAGAGATGATTACACAGAATACAGACTACACAAATCCATGTCAATTTTATCTAAAATAAGCATATGTTTCTTATGCTTATTATAGGGAAAAATGTAAATACTCAGGTTGCTTAAAATACTTATTTGGAGCCAGTACTTATGGCAGGAAGAGACCCCACTTCACCTCATGCATTTCTCTGCCTTAGCTACCCACACAGTGGCTGGCAGTGAGGAGCTGAGCTGAAGGCAGCCA